ATTAATCTTCTTCTTATCCTTTTTCTTTTTCTTCTTCTCCTTTTCCTTTACCTTTCTCTCAACTATTTGTAATCGGCCACCCTTGTCTTAAACTTCCATTCGTCTCGATTTTCCACATGATTTTCTACAATATATTGAATTACATAAAATAATAAATAGGTATTTTTATAAAAGTGTTCAGATTGTTATCTAACTTATCAATTCAAATGATTATTTTTTACCCTTGATAATTCTAAGTATTGCTTCATCAAAAACCACTTGAAAACAAATTTTTGAAATATCGGAAATCTATTTTATTATTAGGATTGGAGTGAAGATTCCTATTAAATCATTTTCTCTTTCATTTCAATAAATATTTTATACTTGTGTATTTGTAAATGACGTGACTTATCTAACTTATTAATTTTTTTTTTTTTTTATTAAAATAGAAAAAATTACGATCTGTAACATATGTACAATAAGCAAATTTGATAAAAATAGAATAATATTTACATCACATGAATAATATGAGGAGTGAGGCTGTCCAGTGGCAGTACCCTCAAATGACATTTAGGTTAGGGATTTAATGAACCCCTACACCAACGCCATTTTAACCGTCGAGGAAAATTTTCAGGCAAGTTTACTCTACATTGAATGGCAATAAGTGGGTTGGCATGTGTGGCTAGTTTTGAATGGAATTTTTTGTAGTGATTTGATGCAACTTTGTTTATTGTTTCAATGTTAAGATCATTTAGGAGTGAGTTTTTAGATACGTAGCAAGGTACAGAAGTAAATAAATGGAAGGTAATTGATTAAAATATCTCAATTGTTTTTATTTAGGATGCTTTGGCAAAACCCCATATCTGTATTCCATAGGCCCAAATGGGTCTTAATATTGACTTATAAATAATAAGTTTATTATTGAGGGATAGATTTGATTTAAGAATAGAACGGAGGAGGTATAGTCTAGTGTTGAGTTTTTTTCTTGTTGATTTTAAATGTGAGCCCCAGGTGAGACGTTTGTCTAGGATCAGGCCCAAATAATTAATTTGGGTTTCAATTAGAATTTCTATACCACCAAAATAAAGGACAGGTGAGATTTCTTTTCTTAAGGTGAAAAGAACATGGAAGGAATAATTGTGATTTTCTAATTTGATGTCCATTAATCTACTTTGATAAGATATGATTGGAGATTGAAGGATGTTTCAATGTTGTCACAATGTTCATTTAATATTGCTGTATCGTCTGCGTATGTGGTGATTAGAATATTATCATCATTTGGTATGTCTAAGGTGAATAAGTTATAAAGATCAGGAGACAGATCACCTTGAGGAACTCCTACTTGGATCTTAAAATAGGGAGAGAAAGCGTTACCAAGCCTGACGACAAATGTACGATTTGAGAGGTATGATTTTATTATTAAGTAAAGTGGTGCTGGTAGAATTATTTTTATTTTGAAAAATAGGCCTTGATGCCATACTCTATCAAATGCTTGAGATACGTCAAGGAAAACGCCAGGAAAATATTTTTTTTCTCAATCGAGGTATATATCTTGTCTATAATCCTATGGATTTGTTGGGTGGTAGAATGCTTAGATCTAAATCCGAATTGATTATCGGGAATTATGTTTTGAGTTTGGATGATTGATCTGATTCTTCGGAGCAAAATTTTTTCAAATAGTTTGCCCAATACCGGTAATAAACTAATAGGTCGATATGATGAAGCCTCATTTTTGGGTTTGTTCGGCTTATGTATGATGATTATTGTTAAGGACTTCCAAATTAGCGAGAAATAAGATAATCTGAGCATTGAGTTGTATAAGTAGGTAAGGAGCACTATGGATTTTTTTGAGAGAAATTTTAGTATTTTGTTGATGATTAAGTCATAACCGGGTGACTTTTTATCTTTCAGTTTGAATATGAAATATTTTATTTCGCTAGGTGATGTGTGTTTCATGGGAAGTGACATTGGTAATGGGCTGTCTAAAAAATTTAAAATTTCATTAAGATTGTTTTAATCGGGAGATATATTCGAATGTAGTGTAAAAATATTTGAAAGGTGGATACCGAAAATATTTACTTTTTCCTCGCCAAATGTAGCTAATGAACCATCTTCTCTTTTTAGGGGATAAAGACGATTTTTAATTTTCATTAAATTTTTAGTGGCTTTTCACAAGGATCCGTCATGTATATTTAGGGTTTGATATTTTGATTTGAAATAGTCGGATTTGTAGATGTTGATTTGTTTTTTAATTGTATTGGAGATGCGATGTAGTATGCGTTTGTCGGATGGGAGACTTGTTCGTTGCCTACGAGAACGGAATCTACATTTCACGGCAATTATTGTTTTTGTACAGGGAGGCAGTTCGTAAGGATTTATTTTAACTGAGTGATTTTGATTGGGTATATGAGAAGAGTTAAAGACAGCGGCTTTTATTGTGGTAATAAAGTTCTGTGCAGCATTTTCTATTTCATCTGTGGTTTTCAGTGAGATTTTTAAATTTGTATTGTTTTCAAGGTTTGACAAGAATTTGATCCAGTTTATTGGACCTTTTGATAGTGAAGTTCGAGAGGATTGAAGGTAGGATGATCATTTATGTCCAAAATAACTGGATTATGGTCAGAGGTGATATTATTTGTGTTGTGTATGCTGAAATTTATAAGTCTGGGAATCGACGATAGGAGGAAGTATAAAATGTCTGGATGTCAGTTTTGGTGAGATGGCCAATATGTAGGTTAGAATATGTAGAGATGCATTTACATCTAATATTTTGTATCATATTGAGGAACATGCGTCCTCAGGGGTTTTCAACTCTACAACCCCAGTTGGGGTGTTTGGCGTTGAAGTCACCTCAAGCAATAAACGTAGAAAAAGCTCGGCTTAGAGGGGAGAAATCGTTGGCTAAGGAGGGCAATAAACTGCAGATATTATAGTGGATATATGATTGAGTGTAATTAAGATATTTTTTGCTTGGATAGTGGGAAGTTGTAGGCTTGGTAGGTGCTTGTGTTTAATTTATAATGAAATAATAATGGCAGAGCCAGCGTGAGCTGTTCCATCGGGATGATCAGTTCTATACACATTAAAACCAGGAAAAAAAAATTGTTTATTTTTGTAGTGTAGTGGGTTTCCGTTATAAATGCTATATCTATTTTTTTGTCTATTAGTAGATCGAGTAATTCTGGTTCATTTTGTTTGAGGCCATTGGCATTCCATAAGAGTATTATAAAATATTTAATAATTGTTGGATTAGGTATCATTTTTCAGAACTAATTTGTTGATTAAGTTTGTGAAGAGTTGAATTAAAGGGAAAATTAATAGCTTAAATTCAGAAAGGAACGAGGAAAGCTGAATGGTAATATTATTTTCTGCTGGCTCATTTGACAGTTTTTGTTTATAACTTTTTTTTACTTTGGTTATTTATAGGAGACTGACTTTGTGAAAAACTTGAGAAAGTTTACTGTCGTTGATGTTGGGGGGATCTAAGGAAGCTTTTTTACTGGAACCTCCATCCTCATTTACAATCTTATTTCTATTTTTAATTACATTATTTTTATAATTTGTTCTTGCATTGTGTAAAGGTTGGAGTTCTTTATGGACTGAAAAGCCACGGTAGCTTGTCGAATGGTTACCTCCACATATGGTACAGGTTGGTGGTTGTTTTTTGGATTGAGTGCACGATGAGATTGGGTAAGCAGCAGCACAACGGACGCATTTCGGAGGGTGTGAGCAGTAGGATTTGGAATGACCGTATTCCTGGCAATTGAAACATTAGATGATTTCACGTCGCTTATGAGGTTCCTCTTTTATTTTTATGTGGAGTAAATTGTTTATGCTGAAAATTTCTTTATTAATTTCAACAGGCTCAAGGTCGATAAAAAATAACGGTAGAGGATTTTTTTGTAGTTTTGTGTAGCACATTAGAGACTTGCCGAACCAGGAAGCCCATATCATGGACGTCTGCTTCAATTTTGACAGTTAGTGTGGAAGGGTGAAGTTTTCTGAAGACAACACGGAAAGCTCGATTTTCTTGAGCTTGATAAGTGTGAAATTCAAGTTTTTTTTTCGTTTAGATATTCAATCTAAACCTCTGTACGAATCGGAATTATAAGTATTAATTTTAAATTATTTGCTATTGCCTTGAATATGAAATTTAGAGTTTCAATTAAATTAATCAACTTATTCCGGAAAGTGAAAAAGTTGTCTATGTTTCTTACAAAGATTGGTGGAGAGGATTGTACGCGAGTTTGATCATTTTTAATTGTATTATCAGTTGTCATTTTGTTTATAGTATTTACGTCGCTGTCGTTGGTACTCAAGATGGCGAATTTGTTATAGAGACAAAATTTGATTTATTTTTTTTATTCAGTATTTCCGGTGAACTTGGAGAAATATCTAGGTGTGTACACTTGGATTTGGATATGATGGTTTCGAAATCGAAATCATTGAAATCATTATCATCATGTCATTGTTTTCGATTTCCATATCAAATTTTCGAATACGTTACTGGTACCACTCTGAATACGCGTCGAGTGTGAGTTGACTGCTTAGAGTATAGTTGTTTGTAATTTCAGTTTACCTTTATCGACGGATGGTTTTCGAGAATTTGAACTCATTATGAATTATAATTAGATGTTAATTATTATTAATAATGACGTTTTATCGACGGTCGTGGGTGACCTATAGATAAGTCGGCGAGCCACGCCGCCCGAACGAACGGGTGACCAGAGTATGGGTTCAATTAAAATACTTAATATTTAATAATTTGAGCCATAAAAATAGGGGTTGGCTACCTTCGATAGGTTTTATACTTACGGCAATTTTTTAACCCAATCATCGAAGTTAACGGTGAAAAAATCGATGAAAGATAAGGAGAGATACAACATATTCACGCAGCGCAGCGAAAAGATGACGTGTATATCGAACGATAGTAACGCAATAACTGAACTTTTTAAAAGTTAACGCGCTTATTATGCAATTCATCGGTCTATTAGACTTAAGAAAATATTATTTGTTTGCAGGAGAGACACCGCAGCCGGAAAACGAACTAGAACACGTGTTCGTGGTGGCCGATTTTCTTGCTGGTGTGCTCATTTTCGCTACGATCGTGGGCAACATCGGTAGTATGATCAGCAACATGAATGTGGCCAGAGTAGAGTTCCAAAACCGTATGGACGGTGTTAAACAGTACATGGCCTTCCGAAGAGTGTCCAAGGAACTAGAAGCCAGAGTGATCAGATGGTTCGCCTACACCTGGGCCAACAAACAGGTAACCAATGCCATTATCATTTAAAGTTTTTGTAAGATAAACAGTTACTTAAAATTTTTTTCAATAAATCATTCTTAAAACTATAACACAATTATATATAATGATATCACATTATATGATTATATCACAAAGAAAATATAGTGTGTGTAATGCAGGTGTTATAGGATGATTCGAAAAATAGAATAACTTTCGTTCTGCTTATTATTATTATACTGTTTCTTTCATAAATAAATACTTATGTCCTAATCTACAACAAAATTGTATTAAAAGATTTTTTTTGATATTTAGAACTTAAATTTGAAAATTTGAAATTTTATTCTACAGTTTGAAAAAATTCTAAAATAGCCATTTTGTAAATTGGATTTTTAAAAAAAATATGGTTTTAAAAGAATTTGTTAAAGTTTAACTATTTATTTATTACGAATTAGTGGACAACCTGAATAAAATATTAATTCCTTATTATTTCGATTGAAACAATAATTAAGAAAAAATAAAAATAAAATATGTAATAAAAAATAAATTAAAAATAATAATAAATAATATAAATATATATATATATTGATAATATATTAAAAATAATATATGTAATATAGTGTACTGTTCTAACAGCTCATATACTTGCATGCCTTTAAATGTTTTTGCCTAAAATCTTAAAAATTACGTTTTATATTTTGTGTACACTTAATTGATACTAAATTATAAGATTTTAATTTAAAAATAACTACATAGTATGCAATTTCCAACTTTCATCTGTAAAAAATGAATCCTAATTTAATATATTATACATAGTAATACCTACCACATTTAAAAAAATTAATTTAATAATACGTATAATTTACATAAATAATGATTTTTACTTAAATATAACTATAATATTTAAAATATAATAAATTAGGTACTTGTAAATAATACATAAACAATATTCCATTTATCCTTTTTTAACATTCGATGCATATTTTATATCCGTCATTGATACACTATATAAATACATTTCTGAAGTACTATTAATACCTACTACACCAAATATTGTATTAGTATCTTGAAGTATATTATTAATAATTATTTTATTTACATTCATTTATTTAATGAAAATTCCATAATGATTTGTTTCTTGCTCTTTATAAGTATGAAACACCCCTAGTTATAGGCAATTTGTCGATGTTTTTCAAATAGTTATCATTTCTTATATTTTGTATTTTTTTTAATAAATTATTAAAAAGAAATTCAAATTTGATTTCCGGTATGACATAATGTAAACATTATTTACCAAGTTAGATGAACAATTTTCTGAAATTATACTGTAAGTACACTATTTGAATATGACATTTATAAATTGCATAAGTAGGTTTTCTCTATAGCTTTGTGATTTCACACAAAAATATACGACGAGTGTACCAAAAAAACGTAGAATATAACAAAATTGTGATCCAAGTGATTTAAGTGGTATTATAAATATTAATTAACTTAAAAGTAAAAATCAAACCCGTAAGAACTTTTAATTTCTTTCGATTATGAATTGGCAGATTTAAATGATTAAGGTTATCTAGTTATATGGTTACATATGTTAATTATTTGGTATTATAATAATAAATATCAAATAAATATAGGTTTGTCTATACGCAATCGATTAAACCAATACCGTGGTTATAATTTTGTTGTTATCAAAAATAAAATTGTTATCATAAATATAATTTTATCATCAATTATAAATTTATAATAAATGAATCATATTACTTTATTTGTTACAATGTAATATTAAGATATACCAACTTCACTCATTACATAAAATATACGTTTCAATTCTAACTTTTTTATTGTATTTACAGAATATATATTTTGAGCAGCAGAAAGTATATTATAAATATGCTTGACAAATGGTTTAGGTCTTCCATGTAAAAATTTAGGTGTAGCATCAGAAATTTTTTTATACTCTCCTGTAAATTTTAAATTTTTTAAATTATATTTTCTTAATGATTCTGATAAAAATTGATCAATTATGGTATCTATTGTACTATTTAGAGACTTGTCAATTGTTAATTTTAAAATTATTAATTTTTGAAAATTCAATAAATAACTATCTAAACATTCATACTTATTTTAATAAATTACCTTCATATTTCACCGACTTTGCCACAACATAGCCAAAACCTAATTCTGATAAACGTGTGTAGTAAATACATTTAAATTATTAGTTTCTCCTTGAAGAGAAATATTATTCACTATATTTGAATTGTCTAGGATATGTTTCAGACTGCTGGAATACCTAGTATTTTCCATTTTAATAAAAATAATAATTTAAAAAAACCGCACCAAAGATAATTAAAAAATAAAATTAAAAGAAATTATTTAATAAAAAAACTAAGAGTTTCATAAAATATGTATGTATGTCATATTTATACAAATAATAATAAAATGAATTAACCTATTCATATTAAGTTATCTTCACTAATATAGTTATATATATATTATTCTTTGTTTTTTGGTACACAGCTACACTGACTACACAATAATTATTAAATCAATTCGGATAATCAAAAATAGTTTAAAAAGCATTAGAAGTTTTTAAAAAGTGTTTTGATTAAAAAGTTAACTACTTTATAATAAGTTTACTTACCATAAATGGAGATCTAATTGCCTATTATTTAACTATTTAGGTAAGATAAACTTTTAATTAGTAAATGAATTGTAATGTATTGTTTAGGCACCTATATTACATTTTTAAATTCTTTATATTACTACTGTTACTCAACTATTAATTCTAATTGCAGGCCGCATCAATGTTCCCATACCTACCTATTCTTATATTAAAATATTAAGGACGTCTAAATTATAAATAAATACAGGGAAAACAATAAATATTGAGAACAACTTGACTGCCTACATTATTTAACAATACAATTTTGAATTTATATCTTAATATTACATTCTAACAAATAAAATAATGTAAATCATTTATTATAAATTTATAATTGATGATAAAATTATATTTATGATAACAATTTTATTTTTGATAACAATAAAATGATAACGACGGTGTTGGTCTAATTGACAGCATATAGACAGACCCAACTTATAATGAATGATAATAAGATAATAGCTACAAATAATAGCAAAAATTTTGGAATAAAATAAATTTCGATCGGATATTATACAATTATATGGGTTATAAAAATTATGTCATACACAATAATATTGTTAACTTTTTCACAAAATTTAAAAAATATTAGAAAATTAATGGATCAACCTTTATTCAATTTTTAAATACCAATATTTTTTTTTAAAAAATCTAGTTTACAAAGTGGCTATTTTGAATTTTTTTTCGAACTATAGAATGAAATTTTCAATTTTCAAATTTGTGTTTTAAAAATCAAAAAATTATTTAATGCAAATTTATTGTAGCGCAGGACCTGAGTATTTATAAAAAAAAAAAAAATTAAAAATAATAATCAAAATAAAAGTTATTCCATTTATCGAATCATCAATAAAAAGAGACATTCTTAGTGATAGACGTTGTAGTGTACTTCTAAAATATTAATTATTGATTACGCACATAAGTACAAACTACTAAAATAAACATTCAATCGTCCAGGGACCGCCTGTCTATATATAAATAATAATACAAAAATAATATATATATATATGTGTATATATCATCAGTATAAATAATTCAGACAAGATAGTGTAATTTTACTGTATTCGATTTGAATTCAATGATTGCATTCGATAAAAAACGATTCTGAGCAGACGAGGGAATCTTTTTTATTTAATTTTATTCGTTTCTATGGTGATAACCAAAGCATTTTAAGAACAACTTAAGAACGATCTATATAAATAGGTAATTTATATAATTATAATTTATAATTAGGAAATATCATAAATATGAAAACAAATATAAAATAAAAGAAAAATCTCAAAAGTCGCTCAAATGTCTTGATAATTTTACCATGCTTAGGTAAAGAACCCAAATTTCTAGTTTTTAACCAAATTACAACAAAAAACTCACAAAATTAAAATCTCTATAAATAGCTCACAAATAGCTAAAATTTTCCGAACTTTAAACCGCAAGGAACAAAATCCAAAATACAACAAAAAAGATCTCTTGTCATTTTTCATTTCAAGCAATAATTCTGGTAGAAAATGTCGTCCGTAATTATTTAATATTATAAAATTATGAAATCGTACGTTTTTTCTCCTTTAACCGCTTTTATTTTGAGTACCGTTTCAAAAATCGAAAAATGACCTCTCTAAAGTACCAGCCTAAGAACATTTTCTTTTAGAAAAGATGCTACATTTGATACTTTTGAGCAAGTTTAGAGGGAGAAAAAGTGTTAACAGAATCAAAAAGAAAAAGAAAAGAAATAAATATCATTGTAAAACCATTACATTCCTCGCTCCGCTCAGAATATAAAATTCTGGCTTAAATTTTATTTAATGGACTTTCGTTTACGTATTACACTATATTTTTAAAATAAGAGTTAACAAAGTTACACGCGATTCCTATTTTTTTTCTACCGAGAAATCCATACTTTGGCTAAATTAGAATTGAAATTATGAAATCATCTTTTTGATTAAACTTCTTCTCGATAAATATAATATATTTAAATATTATAAATATTATTAAATTATATTTAAGTACCATTAGACATTTTATACAGATTCATACACATCATATACATATTCAAATATTTGATAAATATAATGGTTAATTATTCGTATAGTTGATAAGTAAATAATAAATATTTAAATATTAGGTTGTATTTATGTATTTATATTAATAAACAAATTATTTTGTTAAAATATTAAAAAATTAATGTTTGAAAAAATATGCCTTTAAAGATATTGACTGCTTTGAATGTGTAATCTTTAAATTCTAAATACATAAAAATAATGTGCATTAAGTAAAAAAAGATTACAGAAAAAACCTATTCATTTATAAATCTTTAAAAAATATTGGTAATACTAATAAAAATACTAAAATTACCAAACACTTTTAAAAATAA